GCTAGGATTACAGGCGTGAGCCACCGCGCCCGGCCCAGAAGAATTATTTTAACAAATTGTGCTTGTATAATTGGAAACCCATTTGGAAGAAAATAAGTGAACCTTTATTTTATATGACATTAAAAATTAAAATTCTAGATTAATATCTACACATTGAAAAACGAAACAATAAACAATCTGCAAGAAAATTTAAGAAATTACATGCACAATCTCGATTAAATAGATCTTCTTAACCAATCCAGAAGTTTAGAAAAAATTAAGATCTATTTGGTTACACAGAAAGTAAAAAACATTTTAGGGAAAAATCATTCTTATGACAAAATTAGAATTCCTAAAGTCTTTAAAATGGCAAAAAAATACTCCTATGGGAAAATGGGCCAACAATATGAAAATTCACAAACAAGCAAATCTAGGAGTAAGTCGGGCTTACACTCATCAAAGAAGCATAAATTTAAGTAGTATCATGCTATCGTAGAGCAAGAGGGTATGTTATCTTTTTGGACATGACTCTAACGTCTATTTAAAAATTTAAAGTAGCAGATTTCCTTTGATCCAGCAATCTCTTCCCTGTAATCTACCCCACAGAAATAAAGACACCTGAAGTTTAAGGGCTGATTATATTGTTTATTGTAATATTTTTTATGGTGGCAAATGAGCAATAAGTGAATCAATGGTGCGGGGCTGAATAAACTTACAGCACACAATATCAAGAGAATACTATGTAGCAGTTGCTTATTTTTACACTGTCTGGCCATCATAATCATTCTTGTTGCTGGGTCCAGGACCCTGGCCAACTCAAGGCACCAAAATGTAGTCCTCCTAGTTTGGTCTGAATTAGAGTCCTAGTTGCTCTGGTGACTTCAAATCTGCATGAGTACATGGGCAAACCACTTAAGGAATATGAAAGAATGTTTAAGTAGTGCAACATGAGGAATGGAAGAAAATAGGATAGTTTAGATTCATGTGAATATACATATATATCATTTGCGCATATTACCTCAGAAAAATCAACCCCTACCACTTTCAATCTTATCTCAAGACCAACCTTCAAAAATGCTAATAACAAGCAGTGCTATAGTTATATTAGCATTTTATCATTTTGAGTTTACAGGAAATTAATATATTTAAAATGTCTAAGATTGAAAGGCCGTATATTCATCTTTATTACTATTCAAAAAAAGCATTAACAGCTTTCTCTATATCAAGTTATTGTGCAAAGAAAGCAAATAAACAAACATTCTCACAAAGATTTGCTCCAAGTAACAGAATACTGTGTAGGTCTGAGATCTCCCTTTTTATAACTATTTTCCCCAAGTGAACAAACAAGGGAGGTGGGGATTGACTGGGTATGTCTGAGAAGAGAGAAAATTAGTCTGCAGGTTAAAACTAAAGCTGAAATCCAGAAGTTTATGTTTTCTTCAATCACTTATTAAAAAAATTTAAGGGTGACATGGTTTTATTTTTAAAATGTCTAATTTCTGGCCGGACATGGTAGCTCATGCCTCTAATCCCAGCAGTTTGGGAGGCTGAGGTAGGAGGGATGCTTGAGGCCAGGAG